CCCCCCCCCCCCCCCCCAAAATCCCGAACTCCAACACCCACCTTTCCTTTTGGTGGAGCTGCATGGTAACTGTTACATTTTGATTTGGCCAGTGGCATGTGCAGTGTGTCCTTTGCTATTTGACGCTGCCGAAATTTCATTGCATGCGTATCCAACTTGTGTCCTAATCCTCTTATGGGACACACCTTCGCAGACTTGTCGTTATTTCACTAAGTTTTCTGATTTTTTTTCAGTATTTCCCTCATTTCTACTGTGACACCGACAAAGATGTAAGGACATAAGGATAATTGGACAAAATGATGGGGGCCTGGTTAGAGAATGAAGAGGAAACTAAGTAAGAGAACTTAAATGCAGCAGCACTTGAAAGTAAGTTATACATCAAATTGAGAGGAAAATTGGAAGTGGGGAACTAGAAGGACCACACAATTTTATTTGATTTTATGGAAGGGGAATGGTAGATTGCTAGTCATATCAATATCTTAAATCTTCTTTATGGTAGAAGTTACAAGAAGGAGAGTAATTGTGACCCTACTCCATGATTTAAGGGGCAGTAGTTAATTTAAGTTCTTTTGTACTCTTCTGCAGGAAAATCTTAATTGGACATGCTACATTTATATAAAGAGAGTAAAACTCTACACATCAAATTGATTGATCACAAAATGCATGAACAAGGAAAAAAAGAACATCTTATGTATTGTCATTCCCCACTATAAAGATAACTCTATTCTTATATCTATCGTCTATGAAGGGGATGACTTATCAGGACAAGCTTGACTAAGAAACTTTTTTAGTTAAATTCCCTTCGTCATCATTAGGTATACTTTATAGAAATCACTTTATGTGCGACTTTCAGTTTTCATATCCCTTTATTTGACAAGTTTTCAGTTAACTAATGACATTTTTGTATATATTTTATACTTGTCTAACTACTGGAAAATCTGTAGCCTGATTCTGTGGGGGCTTTATATACTATTACAAAGATCAAATTATATATTTATATGGGGCAAACCTAAAATTGTATGTACAGCCATAAAAGTGTAAATGCTCCCTTGGATTTTAAGGTACTATTGTCCATTTAAGTGTCTGTTGGTAAAGGGAGCTCAGACGAAAAACTTTTTTGTCACATTGAAATGACATGGTGATAAGTGATAAGGCCAAATATGATTTTTCATTTGACCAATTAAAGGTTACTAGATATCACACACATCAGCATCATAAAGATCACTCTACTAGTGCATAAACAGTGACACCAAAATCTCCTTTTATATATGGTTCTTTAAATTAAAACACAAGATATGCCTAAGATCATTGAGAGAGAAAAGGAAATAATTAGAACATAGGACATGATGGAAAATTCCTCGTGTTCTGAATATTGGCCTGAGGCTGAAACTGAGACTCATTTTCAACAAGTTGGTGCTGCTTCACCTTTTCTATTTCCATTGGTTCCAAATTCTTGTGATGATACCTCCTTTCAACTTTATGAAAAACCTTGTTATTGGTCTCAACAGTTTGAAGAAGATACAAGTGCAAGTGCTTCTAGGAGCCATAGTGAAGCTGAGAAAAGACGCAGAGACAGAATTAATGCTCAGCTTTCTACTCTTAGGAAACTCATTCCCAGGTCTGAAAAGGTAAGCTTTTATTTTGTCTGTTGAGAAGATTTTTAATATTTTCCATCAAAACAAGGAAAAAAGACTTTTCTCACATAATAGATGGAGTCATTTGCCTTACAGGTTATATTAATTTTTAATTTCATATTACTTAGCTCCTACTTCCATCTGCCAAATGCTTTTTCTATGATTTACCAAATGATTTTACTTGCAGATGGATAAGGCAGCTCTACTTAGAAGTGTAGTTGAGCATGTTAAAGATTTAAAAGGAAGAGCAAAGGAAATCAGCAAAGTATTGAACACTCCAACTGACATTGACCAAGTAATAATTGAGCATTTAGATGAGGAACAAAATTCCAGCAATAGTATAATTCTCAAGGTTTGTGTATGCTGTGATGATCGACCTGAATTGTTCTCAGAGCTAAACAGGGCACTTAAGAACCTCAAACTAACAACTGTGGAGGCTAATATAACTAGTTTGGGCGGCAGAATTAAGTGCGTTTTCATGCTTAAGTCCGTTAATGGTGTTTGCTTGAATTCACTTAAACACTCTCTTAGTAGAATTGCTATTTCCCCTTGTACATCCAATTATCGCATCAAAAGTAAGAGGCAGAGATTCTTCTTGCCTCCTAATTTTTCTTAATTCTTTTTATTTAATCTCCGGTGTTGATCCAATTCCGGTGTTGCCTCATCCTAGTAGGTGTATTGGACTCGTTCAGCGGGTCTCTGTTTATTTTTTATTTTTTAAACAGGTCTGTTTATTTAAAATTGTTGCCAATTTTCAGTCCCTGGTTCAACATGGTATATATCATGTCCTTTAATCTTGATAGCCAAGTGAATCATTTGTTTTTTTACCTGAGTATTCAATATAGTAGGTGCAGTTAGGTGTGTTCATGGTTCGGTTTGGATTGATTTTTCCCTAAAAAGAAACCAAACCAAGTAAGTCGGTTTTTCAAATATTAGAACCAAACCAAACCAATTAAGTCGGTTTTTTCTCGATTTGGTTTATGTCGGGTTTTGTCGGTTATTTGTCAGTTTTTCTTAAATATAAGACATACACTACCAAACACATATTCCGTCGACCACATTTTCAACGTAACACTATCAAATCAATTGCCCTTTGAGAAATCTATTATTTACTAAAATATATTGATGATAATTGAATCAAATAGTGATGAATAATTTAAGGACTCAATTAAATATATATATTTTTTAATATGAAATGGATTCTTACACTTAATAAAAGAAAACTATCAATCAAACTAGAATATAAAGGTAAAAAACTGTACTAAAAGTGCAAAGGATTAACATTCATCATAAATTTTTTGAAACTTTGTATAAAAATATACATATATATAGGTGTAATAATAAATTTGAAATAACTACTCCTATAGTCGGTTTGGTTCGGTTTTTTTCGGTTATTTTTTTTGATTAAAACCAAAACCAAACCAAATTTGATCGATTTTTAAAATTCAAAATCAAAACCAAACCAAACCAAAAAGTATCGATTTTTTTGGTCGGTTTGATTTGGTTTTCGGTTTAGTTCGGTTATTTTTTTTGATTAAAACCAAAACCAAACCAAATTTGATCGGTTTTTAAAATTCAAAACCAAAACCAAACCAAACCAAAAAGTATCGGTTTTTTTGGTCGGTTTGATTTGGTTTTCGGTTTGATTCGGTTATTTTTTTTGATTAAAACCAAAACCAAACCAAATTTGATTGGTTTTTAAAATTCAAAACCAAAACCAAACCAAACCAAAAAGTATCGGTTTTTTTGGTTGGTTTGATTTGGTTCGATTTTTCAGGTTTTTATGAACATCCCTAAGTGCAGTGTCCTAGTTCCGAGTTTCACCACATAAGACATGCTATTTTTGTTAGTTTAATGTTTTCAAGTACAAGTCACAACTATATAAAGTAATCGCCAAGAGAGGTCGTTGCATATAGCGCATACACCGGATTATGATTTGTTCGACCTGAACATAAAGATACTAGATGAGAACATCTACGATCACGTTGGGTATTAAAGCAAATTAAAGAAGATCAAGAGAAGTAAATTAACTCTTTCATAAGAATGTGACAAAAATTTGTAGGTTCCCTATGAAGTGTTTTTGAACGGAAGAGAGAAGCCCTTCAAATAATTCGTACTCGGAAAAGTGAAAAACGAAAATACGCATTACACGCCTATAGCATGGTTGTGATCTAATATATTTAGAGTTAAAAAAATGATAGTTTCAATAATTCAAAAAAATAATAATAAAATAAAGTTATTGTTTGAAAACATAAAATGAAAACAAATCAAAATTCACAAATACTCATTAGAACACAAAGAGGACATTTTTTTTTGGAATAAAGTCTCTAGAAGAATGTCTAAATTAGAGTGATATCAAAAGGATTTTCAATACCAAAAATTAACTTGAAAAGATCAAAATTCATTAAAGGTCATGATGCCGCCTAACACCCGCTGTCAGGCAAGTCAACAATAATTGATTAACTTGATTACTCATTTCAGTATTTTGAAATCATAATTTTTCCTTCAATCAAATAATAAAAAATAAAATTGACAGAGATTGATAATATTTTCCGAACTACAATACTAAACAACTCCTAAGTACTCCCAAAATCCGATGTCACAAGTGCATGAGCATCAACTAGGGAGTAAAAATAAAATCCAGCATCTGTCCGGAATACAAATTAGACAGGAAAATATAAATAACTCTGAAGGAGACTCTGCTGGCTGTGGATTATAATATAGAATGTAGCTCACCTAAGTCCCTACATTAACCACACCTCTGCGCCCACAAGACCACTAGACATATATGTACCTGCACAAAAATGTGCAGCAAGTGCAGTATGAATACGTAAATCAATGCGTACCCAGTAAGTATCCCGTCTAACCTCGAAGAAGTAGTGACGAGGGGTCAACTCTGACACTTACTATGGGTTAACAATAGAATACCGATGTTATAATTAAGCATGGATTACATAATATAACAGAGAACTCAATAACCGGAAATAATAAACAATCCTTTTACTAATAGAAATTTCCAAATTTATTTTCATCATTTAGCAAATTATATCTCAAGCCAATGGAACAATGTCAATTATTATTAGTCCCAAAGAATTATCATGCGCAAGTCATGCCGAGGTCGTATGGCCCGATCCAACATATAAATATAAACTGTGCACTGTCGAGGGGCGAACGACACGAACTATAGATGCATCTATCTGCTACCGAGGCGTTCGGCTCGCTCCACAAAAGAGAAAATACATTAAAACAACCAATTCAAGGTTTATTTAGGAACAATTATTCAAAGAAATGCCAATTCTCATTAACGATCAAGTAAATAAATTTAACCTTTTTCAATTCCTTTATCTTCAATATATTTTAAACAATTAAATTAACAAGTAGGTTGCAAACATCGCAAGTATAACATGATTTGGGTCCTAAACTACCCGGACATTAAATATTATAGTAGCTACACACGGATTCGCGTCACTTCGTGGGTACTAGCCCCCACAAATAGAAGCACATATTAAACCAATTCACCTATGGAGTTAATTTCCTTTTACAAGGTTAGAAAGGAAACTTACCTCGCTCCGAAATTCTATAACTGGCTCCCAAGTCTTTCCAACAACTCAAACCGATGCCCAATGCTGCAAAACTAGTCAATAAATGTGCAAACCCATAAATATATACTCTAATACTCATTATAATCCAATTTATAACAATTCCCAACTCCGCTCGAAAAGTCGATAAAAATCACCTTCGGGCCCACGTGCCCGGATTTTAAAATTTTCGAAAATAAACATTACCCATAATCCACGAACTCAAATATATAATTTATTTTTAATTCCATGCCCAAATTTGTGGTCAAAATTCAAAAATACCAATTTCTAGGTTATTCTTAAATCCCAAATTTCTACAAATTTTCATGTCTAAATCCATATATAAACCTTGTATTTAACTCACAACTAGTAGAAATCACTTACCTCTTGATATTGATGGAACCCCTCTCAAAATGCTCTAAAAAATCTCTTAATACCAAGTGGGAAATGAGCTAAGTCCCGGAATAAAAGCCCTTGGCTCCAGTCGCAGATGTCGCATTTGCGATAGGTGGTTCGCAAATGTGACCTACGCAAATGCGGACAAAGCATCGCAAATGCGACCCCTGACAGACCGGGCCTTTATCGCAGATGTAATACAGAGTTCGCAAATGCGAACTCTTCAGGCTTCGCAAAAGCGACCATAGTTTTTGCAAATGCGAATCATTCCCAGCAGTCCAGGCTTGCAAATGCGAGGGACTACGTCGCAAATGCGGTAGTCGCATTTGCAACCAAAATATCGCAAATGCGATGAAACCAGAACCAACACTCTAAATTCTTAACGAAGCACTTCAAAGCTAATCCGAAACTCAATCGACCCCCCGAGGCTCCAAACCAAACACCCACACAAGTCTAAAAACATAACACGAACTTGCTCGAGGCCTTAAATCATATCAAACAACGTCAAAACCATGAATCACACCCCAAATCAAGCTTAATGAACTTTAGAACTTCAAACTTCTACATTCGATGCCGAAACCTATCAAATCACATCCGATTGACCTCAAATTTAGCACACAAGTCACATTCGGTATTATGGAACTACTCCAACTTTCAGAATTGGAATTCGATCCCAATATTAAAAAGTCCACTCCCGATCAAACTTTCCAAAACCTTCAAATTTCCAACTTTCGCCAAATGATCCCAAAATGACCTACAGACCTCCAAATCCACTTTTGGACACACTCCTAATACCAGAATCACCATACAGAGCTATTCCCAGACTCAGACATCGATAACATTGAAATACACCTCAACCCAAATTTATGAAATTCTTCCAAAATGCCAACTTTCTATGATAGGCGCCAAAACGCTCCCGGATAATCCAAAACCCGATCCGAACATACGCCCAAGTCCGAAATCATCATACGAACCTGTTGCAATGAACAAATCAACATCACGAGGGCTATCTTGCCCGTATCGCCATAAGGCCTGAACAAAATTACAACATGCGTGGAGAATAATCATACAACCTCACCGCCTAACACAGCATAAAAGAGTAACACATAACATAGGCTAGGGGCACAAATAATATCCATTCTGCCCGGTAACATAACCATAATGACAATCTCACAGGAGCGCTCAAACTTGATCTGATACAAGACACATATTCTCATTGAGCTTTCAAATAGCCCCCAACCCAAATCCTGATTATTTCCAAATAGGTAAGTATGCTTCAAAAAGATCCACAACAACTTATCCATAATACATGCTATTAATTATTGCATTCTCAACATTTCTTCAAGATCCGCAAACAGGAAATAGTCCATTCATGAGGGCATCTAGCCCCAAACCTCAGGAATACCGAAATTTCCATACCCAACTCAACTACGCAAATCAAATGGCTGATATATCAATCACACCCTATTATTCTGCTGAAGCACCCATATAGGATTTCTGGCCGTGTAACAAAACATGAACCCCGAAAGCCTCAAAACCCAGTAATCACCATGCTACTAGCCATGCACCCGCGAACCAAAACTTAAGGTCCGTTCTAAAAATGCACACCCTTCGTATATGATAGCCAATAAGGTCAACACTCCATTAATTTCTGATACCTATTTAGGAGAAAGTCACAATGGACCACATATTCCTTACGCCCATAGTAGAAAACCAACTCAAGCCTTTGTCGAGCCATCGAGACCCTTCCGAGATCCGCCCGCACGCAACTAAGCCATCAGGACTGCACCTCCCCAACTCGACCG